TGTTTGATGCCCCCTTGACATTATAATTGATGGTTGTGTAAAGGCGTGTCCCGTGCCCTTCATAACTTCTCCCGTAAATCCAAATACCCGGGCCGGGACGTCTCGTTCCACCTTCGGGACCTCAAAACTATCAACAAAAACAGCAGACAAAACAGGACCAGTTGCACCAGTATCCAACAACACCTTACAAGGTAAACATTTTTCCGCAAAACAAAGGAACTGATTAACGATAGGTCGAGGACCGTGAATAGGTTCCTCCAAAATTTTCTGTTTTTTCTCCGGTTGGGACGCTCTCCCTTCCTGCCTTTTTCTTTTCATATTTTTTTTGTTGTTTTCCGTCAGTGATAACATAGCAATCTGGGGATACTCCTGACCTGACTCATCAGAGTCCCCTTTTAAAAATCCTCGTCGAAATCCATCTCAGATTCCGATCCGCGTTCTCGCACAAACGCTTGCCCACTGGTGTACTCCGCTGCAGCCGTAGCGGCCGGCTTTCTAGCACGGTGCCTCATACACTTCCTCAGAGGTTGGGGTTCCGGTGGTTCCATATCGTGGTCGCCATCGTCATCGCGGGTACGCTTTCGGGAGAAAAAGGAGATAGATGCACTACTGTTAGCATCCGAACGACACCATTTCCAAAGATGACCCTTCCGGCCACATCGCACACAGACTCCATCGGTCTTTCGCTGTTCTCGGACCGGCTGTGGAACTCCTTTGGTGGCTTCGTCGTAGTCGTGGTATATTTGCTTCTTCCCCGACTTGTTCTTGCTGGTGCTCTTCTTATCTTGCCCCTTTTCTTTCTCCTCAGTTTGAGCCCTCCCCTTGATCTTAAACCCCTTCTCCCTTTGCCGTGAGTTCCCACCATTATTCGACTCCCTTCCTCTCGACTCCGCTTTCCCCAACATCTTCATCTGCTCTTGATAAGCCTCGTGAGCCTTACCGGCTCGTTCCAATTGTTGGATATACTCAGAGTCGTCCTCTGTTGGGTCGAATCGTGAGTGGCGCTCCCGGATTTCATTTGGTAGCCCTTGGAGCAAGGCGGCGCGGTAGGATGCCCCTTTCATCTGAGCATGCTGGTTCATAATCTCCATCCTCGTCAGGTAGTCCCCAATGTTCGCAGAGTACTTAAACTGCTGCATCTTTATCGCGTTCTCCATAGCCTCCTGAGTGCTTAAGAAGCGTTTCCTGATCACCTGACGGAACCGAGTTCAAGTAGCGTAGTCCGCGGCTGCCGGTCCTAGCATCTTGGTCTCGATATATTCCATAAACCATTCCTTTGCCAACCCACACGTATACGTCCCAGCGAACAGTACCTTGTTCCTATCCGTTCGGAACTTCTTGGGCTTCTGCTCGAAGTAGATCTCGCACTCCATGAGCCAATGTCGCAGGTTATGCTTCCGGGCATTATCGAACTCGAAGGGTATTTTGGCGAGCGAATCTACCATGTCCTCGTCTTCAGGCGGCGCCGAATTCCGGTTCCCGCCTTGGTTCCTTCTCCAATTCTTCCGACCGTGCGACCATTCACTGTTATCGTCGTCATCGTCGTCGGAAGGTTCTGGGTCTCCCCCAACATTTCCTCTTGGTGGGTTTTGGGGAGGTTGATTTCCACCATTCCCGCCGACTGGGGCAGCTCCCACCGGTCTCCTGCCACTATTTCCCTGCACTGGGCCGGCATCCTCCGGTTGCCTGCCTCCATTTCCTCCTACCGGACCAGCGTTTCCTCCTACTGGGCCAGCATTTTCGGGTTTCTTGCCATTGCCCACAGGAACCGTTTGGGGTGCATTGGGGTCCAAGGGAGCGCTCGCCATAGAGGGTGCTACCGACATATGTTGTCGTAGTCGTTCCTCCATCTCGGCTATTCGCTGATTTCTTACGTCATCGGACTGCTTGAATTGCGCCAACAGCTCCCGCTGTTCCCTTTTCTCCTGCTCTCGCTCTTCTCTTGCAACTCTCAGCTGTCGTTCCGCTTTCAACAGTTGGTTCTGGGTAATCCGATGGTTGCGATCCAGAACCTCGTGGTCGGCGGCTCGTGCGGCTTCCTGTACTTGTCGAACATTTTCGACGAGCTCAAAGAGCGATTCGAGATGTTGCTTCTGGGCGATGGCTTCTTGTCGTACTTTCTTATCCAGGATCTGCCCACTCCCCTGCACCTGTTCCTGGAGGTTTTGTAGCTGCTGCCAAACGGCCTGTCCAGCTGTACCAAGATACCTCATTTGTGCCTCATGGGTATCCAAAAACTCCTGCATGGACCTCGTAAACTGGGCTTGAGCAGAGCGGGTTTTTGTTGACCTAGTTTGTGTAGAAGTGTTACGGGCATGCCAAGCATTTACGGGAGCGAGAAAAAGGCTAGTAGATACTCCTATACCCTTTAATACTAATGGCAACACCACTATCAACTCCGGTCCGCACCTACGAGGTACGGTGCGATCAATATGCGACTAAATGCGGAGTTGCGGTTTTCCTAGTTAAAAAACACGTTTTCGACCCCAATAATAACCCCCGGAGCGTCAAACCCCCGGAGGGGAGTGTTTTGGTACCGGTGGATATATGAGGGACAGCTGGAATCAATCGGATCGAAGATCGGACCGCTCGGAGCGAATCGGCGCAAGCTGCCAGCCGACCGAGTACCTATCGGCGGTACCTGTGGGCATGAGAGGACTCTGCTATGTGGGAAAGCGATGTGGGAAAAGGCCTGGGTAGTTAGCTTTGCCGTCCGAGACCTCCGAATAGCCGACGCTGACGATTACCCACCAGACGGCCGATGGAGAAGAAATATCGACAGGGAAACGTGCATTAGAATGGGTAAATAGGTTGAGGGGTTTTCTGCGGGCTTAGGAGTTTGGGTTACGGATTTAGGCGTTAAATGTTCTTGGTTGTTTTTCAGGGTCTCGGGTAGGCCCCGAGTGTATTCTGTATTATTAGTAGACTGGGTCCTCGAGACATAAGCGAGGGATATAAATACTGTGTCATTCACTGACTAGCCAAACCATCATCGGCGAAATCAGAGTCTTAACAATATAAATCGTTGATACGCGAGTTACAACTTTATTTGACTATACTTCTGAAAATACTTTACTCTATCGTGACTTCGAACTCTACCTGAACTATTACGTCGAAGACGGTCGAATCCTATACGCTAACTCTAGTGAATCTTTGCTGATAACGTAGCTCGCGGGGCCCGTATCGGATCAAGGAGAATTATACTCGACGTTGACTGAAGAGACCTTGGAGACTTCTACCTTTGTAGCTGTTAGCCGAACTCTGAGCTCTGCGTAGTGTACTCTTGTGGTCTGGTACGCATCCCTCACATGTACCAAGATCGGCGCAGACGTAAACAGGGTTTTGAGTTTTTCGAAGGCTGCTTGGGGCGTCATAGACCAGACAAAGTTCTTAGCATCACCTCTGAGACAATCGGTAATGGGTTTACAGACCCCGGAGAAATTGTGGATAAATCTTCTGTAGAAGTTGGCAAAGCCCATGAAGATCTGTACTTCCTTAACGCTGCGCGGGGCTTGCCAATTCGTGACAGACATCACCTTATCTATTGCCATGGTGACGCCTGCTGGGGCAAGGATGTATCCAAGAAACTCGATTTCGGTGAGCTCGAAGAACGATTTCTTCGGGTTGGCGACTAGATTGTATTCTTGTAGCCTACTAAGGACTTTACCGACCAACTCTCTGTGCTCCTCTTGAGACTTGCTATATATTAGGATATCATCAAGGTATACTACTACACCTTGATCCAGGAATTCCCTCAGCGCATCATTCATCATATTCTGGAAGATCGCTGGCGCATTTGCCAGCCCAAAAGGCATGACGAGGTACTCAAAATGTCCATACCGCGTACGGAAGGCTGTCTTCCACTCGTCGCCGTCTTTGATCCTGATGAGGTTATAACCTTCCTTCAGGTCAATCTTCGAGAAGATAACCGCGCCTGCCACTCGATCTCGCAGCTCGTCCATAAGCGGTAACGGATACCTGTTCTTGATGGACACACGGTTAAGTCCACGGTAGTCAACGCAAAGTCGCAGACTACCGTCCTTCTTCTTCACAAATAGGATTGGGGCTCCTGCAGGGGATTTGCTCGGCCTAATCTTTCCCAATCGCAACATTTTGTCCAGGTATTCCTGAAGCACCTTCAGTTCAACTTCGGATAGGGAGTAAACGGGTCCCCATGGTGGCTGCTTCCCTGGTTCAAGGTCTATTGTATGGTCGTAGGATCAATGCGGTGGTAACTTATCTGCTTCCGATGGTAGGAAGACTTTAAGGAACCCAGGGAGCCAAGAGGGAAGAGTCTCGCGGAGGTTGACCGATTCATCTTCCAAAAGACAAATACTACCGATGAATTGGGCCTCCGGATTGTCCAGTACACCCTCGTCCATTTCTATTCGAGGTTCCTTGTCAGTGAAGCATCGACTCTTGCAGTTCTCACCATCGTAGGAATGTAACGGGGACTATAGGCGTAGGAACTATGAAGCCAAGGAATACAACTGAGGCGAAGACGTGGACGTAGGAGGTTCGTGGAGTATAGACTATGGACTATGGGGCCGAAGGGTACACCTAAGGCAAGAACGGGGACTGTGGACTATGGACTATGGATGGTTGTACCTGGTCTAGTATACCGGGTAAACCCTATGACGTAGCGCGAACCAAATAGTATTCGTAACTGTAAAGTACAGAAGAAGAAGAAGAAGAAACTTATATTGCTTTGAAGTACAAGACTTATCGCACGCCGACCCAACCGCCTAAACACAAACCGAACAAAAGAACGAAAGGAAAGAAAACAACAAACACAAACAAACGAACAAACGAACAAGAGCAAAAGCAAACACAAATAACACGAACAAGGGTAAAGAAATTCCAGAACGACACTCAACCAGAAACAACCCAGCGACAAGGAGAAATAGCATATCTCAGCGAACTCGGGCGCTGGATCCATCAAAACAAAGTAAAACCAAAGTTAAAAAGGTAAAAGGAAACCACCCTTCCTAATCCCGTCCCTAATCATTTTCTTCCATCCCCTCTTCCAGGTCCGCCTCCGCTTCCGCCGACTCGTACCACTTCGAGAGTTGAGAATTTTTTGCAAATTGTAAGATAAGGTCCGTTTTCAAGTTTGTAAACATCCAGTTTTCCCAGGTCATCGCTCCGGGGATCTTTTCTATCAGGGGGGCGCGGATTCGAGCCCACGCTGGGCATTCCATAAGTATATGTTTCGCTGAGTTTTCCATACCGCACTGGCATGGTTCGGGGTCTGTATGTACCGCGTGTTTATCGATTCGGGTAGTTTGGCACCGGATTCGAAAGACTTTTTTCGCTTCCATTAGGGTGAGTTTCGCAATCTTGGAAGGGGGGCGGAAATCCCCGCGGTGATGGTAGTCCGGTATTGGTTGTATATTCCATTCTTCCAACAGGTGGTCGCGTATGTGAGGGATGCGTACCAGACCACAAGAGTACACTACGCAGAGCTCAGAGTTCGGCTAACAGCTACAAAGGTAGAAGTCTCCAAGGTCTCCTCAGTCAACGTCGAGTATAATTCTCCTTGATCCGATACGGGCCCTGCGAGTTACGTTATCAACCAAGATTCACTAGAGTTTAGCGTGTGATGTTCGACCGTCTTCGACGTAATAGTTCAGGTAGAGTTCGAAGTCACCGTAGAGTAAAGTATTTCAGAAAGTATAGTCAAATAAAGTTGTAGCTCGCGTATCAACGATTTATATTGTTAAGACTCTGATTTCGCCGATGATGGTTTGGCTACTCAGTGAATGACACAGTATTTATATCCCTCGCTTATGTCTCGAGGACCCAGTCTACTAATAATACAGAATACACTCGGGGCATGCCCGAGACCCTGAAAAACAACCAAGAACATTTAACTCCTAAGTCCGTAACCCAAACTCCTAAATCCGCTGAAACCCCTCAACCTATTTATCCACTCTAATGCACGTTTCCCTGTCGATGTTTCTTCTCCATCGGCCGTCTTGGTGGATAATCGTCAGCATCGGCTATTCGGAGGTCTCGGCCGGCAAGGCTACCTACTCAGGCCTCTTCCCACATCGCTTTCCCACATAGCAGAGTCCTCTCATGCCCACAGGTACCGCCGATAGGTACTTGGTCGGCTGGCAGCTTGCGCCGATTCGCTCCGAGCGGTCCGATCTTCGATCCGATTGATTCCAGCTGTCCCTCATATATCCACCGGTACCAAAACACTCCCCTCCGGCGGTTTGACGCTCCGGGGGTTATTATTGGGGTCGAAAACGTGTTTTTTATGACTCTGGGTTTTTTGGTCGTAATTTGGTCGCACCACACTCCGCGAGTGTGGTCAAGAGTTGATATTAGCGTACAGAGGGTATTGGGGTATCTACTAGCCTTTCTCTCACTCCCGTAAATACTTGGCATGCCCGTAACAGCTTACCCCCCTTCCAGGGTGTCACGTCTCGGGACATCTTCTGACAGACTATGGTTCCAGTAAACCTGCTCCACATATCACCCGCGGTGTCTGTGGAGGGGAAGGACTTAGCCCCGTAGGGTACCTCTATAGTCTCAGGCGTTGGTCCTTCACGGCCTTGGGGTTCCTTCGATGGAAGTCGCGGACAAGGTCAAGTACTTCCTCATCCATAGCGTCCATGACTTGATACGTACAGTCACTCATCGAATAGCCCCGCCATTTCACCAGGTATTCCACTAATCCTCTTCTACTTTTCCGGCTCCCCACGATACTTTCCACTTCGTACAGCACCTCTCCTTCCTTATCAACCTCTTCGGGAGTTGGGGGACGTTGTTCTCGGCCTGGGATACTGCTCTGTCGATACCGTTCCAAGAGTTCAATATGGAACACATTATGGATTTTGACTTGTGGCGGCAGTTCCAGTTCGCAGGCTCGTTTCCCGGCTAGTCGGATGATTTTAAACGGGCCGAGTTTCTTGTGATCGAGTTTCTTGGTGGAGCGACGTGTCTTGATATTGGTCGCATTGAGCATAACCATGTCTCCCACCTTGAAGTTAGGCGGTTCGTCCCTTTTTCGATCATAGTATTTCCCCATCTTCTCCCTGGTATCTGTTAAGCGAGCGAGAGCAGAATCATGAACTCCCCGGATAAAGTGAGCGTACAGGTCACTGGTTGGGTTGACCACTTCGGCTTCCGTCGGCCAGTTGGTTCTTGGGTTGTAACCGTAATTGGTATAGAACGGAGATTGACCCGTGGCGGTGGTAACCGAGTTGTTGTAAGCATACTCCGCCAAAGGGAGTAGCTCTGCCCAATCATCTTGCTCGTAGTTGCAGAACGCTCGTAAGTAATGTTCGAGGGTTTGGTTGACCCGCTCTGTTTGCCCATCGGTCTGAGGGTGGAAAGCCGTACTCATTCTTATCCTCACGTCCAATAATTCCATAAGGGATGCCCAAAAACTCGAAGTAAACTTGGCGTCCCTGTCGGAAACTATATCAAGAGGCAGCCCATGGAGTCGCCAGATTTGACCGAGGAATATCTTCGCTAAATCCTGCGCGGTCGTTTCTGCTACTAGGGGGATGAAGTGCGACATCTTCGAGAATCTATCGACTACTACCCAGATTTGGTTATATCCCTTTGATTCCGGTAACTGTACGACGAAGTCCATTGATATCGATTGCCAGACGGAGTGTGGTGTGGACAGTGGAAGAAGCGCACCGTATTTCTTATGGCGGCTGGGTTTGTTGCGCTGGCACTCGTCACATGACCGAACGTAATCATCAATCCACTCGTTCATTTTTGGCCAATAGAAGTTGCGCGTAATAAGTTCCAAAGTTTTATCTTGTCCAAAGTGTCCTGCCACCTTCGAATCGTGTTCTGATTGTGCAATTCGGATCTTAATACGGTCGTCTGCCGGAATGTAGAGTCGGTTCTTATAGAAGAGTAGCCCGTCTTTCTCAACGATATCCTTCAGTTCCCCCAGCTTCTCCCCTTGCTCAACTCTCTCTTTCAGTCCTACCCATGTCGGGTCTCCCGATGCCGCCTGCCTGACATGATCCAGAAAGTTCTTAGACCAGTCAATCACCCCCTTGGAGGCAAGCGACACCGCTGATACCACAAACTCTTCCTCCACCAACTGTCCGGGCTTAAAGAACCTGTCTATCGGCTGTTTCCCAAGCGTGCCTCCCCCTTCAGGACGGTACTCCGGCCGTCGCGATAGTGCATCTGCCTTCCCATTTTTGGTTCCTGGGCGGTAAATAATCTTAAAGTCAAATTCCGCCAAAGATTCAGCCCACCTTGCCTGTCGTCGGTTAAGAACCTTGGTTGTTGAAAAATATTCCAAGTTCTTGTGATCCGTATATACGAGAACCGTTCGGCTAGGTCCTTCGAGGTAGTGACGCCATTGCTTGAAGGCTGACACAATTCCCAACATCTCCTTATCCCAGACGTCGTAGTTGAGTTCCGCTGGGTTAAGTTTTCGAGAGTAGAAGGCAACAGGGTGAGTCTTTCCGTCAATAACCTGGGATAGAATTGCGGCGATAGCAAAATCACTTGCGTCCGTTTCCACGATAGTCTGGCGATCTGGAGAGAAGTGTACCAAGATCGGCGCAGACGTAAACAGGGTTTTGAGTTTTTCGAAGGCTGCTTGGGCCGTCATGGACCAGACAAAGTTCTTAGCATCACCCCTGAGACAATCGGTAATGGGTTTACAGACCCCGGAGAAATTGTGGATAAACCTTCTGTAGAAGTTGGCAAAGCCCATGAAGATCTGTACTTCCTTAACGCTGCGCGGGGCTTGCCAATTCGTAACAGACATGACCTTATCCAGTGCCATGGTGACGCCTGCTGGGGCAAGGATATATCCGAGGAACTCGATTTCGGTGAGCTCGAAGAACGATTTCTTCGGGTTGGCGACTAGGTTGTATTCTTGTAGCCTGCTAAGTACTTTGCCGACCAGCTCCCTGTGTTCCTCTCTAGACTTGCTATATATTAGGATATCATCAAGGTATACTACTACACCTTGATCCAAAAATTCCCTCAGCGCATCATTCATCATATTCTGGAAGGTCGCCGGCGCATTTGCCAGCCCAAAAGGCATGACGAGGTACTCAAAATGCCCGTACCGCGTACGAAAGGCTGTCTTCCACTCGTCGCCGTCTTTGATCCTGATGAGGTTGTAACCTTCCTTCAGGTCAATCTTCGAGAAGATAACCGCGCCTGCCACTCGATCTCGCAGCTCGTCCATAAGCGGTAACGGATACCTGTTCTTGATGGACACACGGTTAAGTCCACGGTAGTCAACGCAAAGTCGCAGACTACCGTCCTTCTTCTTCACAAATAGGATTGGGGCTCCTGCCGGGGATTTGCTTGGCCTAATCTTTCCCAATCGCAACATTTTATCTAGGTATTCTCGAAGCACCTTCAGTTCGACTTCGGATAGGGAGTAGACGGGTCCCCATGGTGGCTGCTTTTCTGGCTCGAGATCTATCGCGTGGTCATAAGATCGATGCGGTGGTAATTTGTCTGCTTCCGATGGTAGGAAGACTTTAAGGAACCCATGGAGCCATGAGGGAAGAGTTTCGCGGAGGTTAACCGATTCATCTTCCAGAAGACAAATACTACCGATGAATTGGGCCTCCGGATCGTCTAATACACCCTCGTCCATTTCTATTTGAGGTTCCTTGTCAGTGAAGCATCGACTCTTGCAGTTCTCACCATCGTAGGAAACTTCCCCATTTGCCCCTATAACCGGCTTGTGCTCTTTCAACCACCAGTTCGGTAATATTGCATCGATGCCAACCGGGAGAGGGGCGATCTCGAATGACAACTGTGTTTGATGCCCCCTTGACATTATAATTAATGGTTGTGTAAAGGCGTGTCCCGTGCCCTTCATAACTTCTCCCGTAAATCCAAATACCCGGGCCGGGACGTCTCGTTTCACCTTCGGGACCTCAAAACTATCAACAAAAACAGCAGACAAAACAGGACCAGTTGCACCAGTATCCAACAACACCTTACAAGGTAAACATTTTTCCGCAAAACAAAGGAACTGATTAACGATAGGTCGAGGACCATGAATAGGTTCCTCCAAAATTTTCTGTTTTTTCTCCGGTTGGGACGCTCTCCCTTCCTGCCTTTTTCTTTTCATATTTTTTTTGTTGTTTTCCGTCAGTGATAACATAGCAATCTGGGGATACTCCTGACCTGACTCATCAGAGTCCCCTTTTAAAAATCCTCATCGAAATCCATCTCAGATTCCGATCCGCGTTCTCGCACAAACGCTTGCCCACTGGTGTACTCCGCAGCAGCCGTCGCAGCCGGCTTCTTAGCACGGTGCCTCATTCGCTTCCTCTGAGGTTGGGGTTCCGGTGGTTCCATATCGTGGTCGCCATCGTCATCGCGGGTACGCTTTCGGGAGAAAGAGGAGATAGATGCACTGCTGTTAGCATCTGAACGACACCACTTCCAAAGATGACCCTTTCGGCCACACCGCACACAGGCTCCATCGGTCTTTCGCTGTTCTCGGACCGGCTGTGGAACTCCTTTGGTGGCTTCGTCGTAGTCGTGGTATATTGGCTTGTTCCCCGACTTGCTCTTGCCGGTGCTCTTCTTATCTTGCCCTTTTTCTTTCTCCTCAGTCTGAGCCCTCCCCTTGATCTTAAACCCCTTCTCCTTTTGCCGCGAGTTCCCACCATTATTCGCCTCCCTTCCTCTCGACTCCGCTTTCCCCAACATCTTCATCTGCTCTTGATAGGCCTCATGAGCCTTACCGGCTCGTTCCAACTGTTGGATGTATTCGGAGTCGTCCTCAGTTGGATCGAAGCGTGAGTGGCGCTCCCGGATTTCATTTGGTAGTCCTTGGAGCAGGGCGGCACGATAGGATGCTCCTTTCATCTGAGCATGCTGGTTCATAATCTCCATTCTTGTCAGGTAGTCTCCGATGTTAGCAGAGTACTTAAACTGCTGCATCTTCATCGCGTTTTCCATAGCCTCTTGAGTACTTAAGAAGCGTTTCCTAATCTCCTGCCGGAACCGGGTCCAAGTAGCGTAGTCTGCAGCTGCTGGACCTAGCATCTTGGTCTCGATATACTCCATAAACCATTCCTTCGCCAACCCACACGTATATGTTCCAGCGAACAGTACCTTGTTCCTGTCCGTTCGGAACTTCTTGGGCTTCTGCTCAAAGTAGATCTCGCATTCCATGAGCCAATGCCGCAGGTTATGCTTCCTGGCATTATCGAACTCGAAGGGTATTTTGGCAAGCGAATCTACCATATCGTCGTCTCCAGGCGGCGCCGAATTCCGGTTCCCGCCTCGGTTCCTTCTCCAATTCTTCCGACCGTGCGACCATTCACTGTTATCGTCGTCATCGTCGTCGGAAGGTTCTGGGTCTCCCCCAAGGTTTCTTCTTGGTGGGTTTTGAGGAGGTTGATTTCCTCCATTTCCGCCGACTGGGGCAGCTCCTACCGGTCTCCTGCCACTATTTCCCTGCACTGGGCCGGCGTCCTCCGGTTGTCTACCTCCATTTCTTCCTACTGGGCCAGCTCCTTCTGGTTGCTTGCCATTCCCTGAGGTTTGGGGGCCAGCATTTTCGGGGTTCTTGCCATTGCCAACAGAAACCGCTTGGGGTGCATTAGGATCTAAGGGAGCACTAGCCACGGAGGGTACTACCGACAAACGTTGTCGTATTCGTTCCTCCATCTCGGCTATCCGTTGGTTTCTTGCTTCATCAGATTGCTTAATTTGTACCAACAGCTCTCGTTGTTCCCTTTTCTCCTGTTCTCGCTCTTCCCTCATCATCCTCAACTGTCGCTCCGCCTCCTGTAACTGGTTCTGGGTATTCAGATGATTACGATCCAGAACCTCATGGTCGGCGGCTCGTGCGGCTTCTTGTATTCGTTGAACATTTGCGACGAGCTCGAAGAGCGATTCGAGATGTTGCTTTGTTGCAATGGCTTCTGATCGTACCTTTTTATCCAGGGTCTGCCCGCCCCCTTGCACTTTTTCCTGAAGGTTTTGTAGCTCCTGCCACATTGCCTGTCCTGCTGTACCCAGATACCTCATTTGTGCCGCATGGGTATCCAAAAACTCCTGCATATACCTCGTAAACTGGGCTTGAGTAGAGCGTTTACTCGATTGCCTAGTGTGTGTAGAGGGTCCTCCCTGGAGTAGGGGATCTGGGCTAGCAGCCCTTGATATTACCATAGAATCTTCCCCCCCGGCCTCCTCGGTTGCAGCCGAGGTATCTATGAAATAATTATCCCTTCGGGCAGTCATTGTAATAGGGGATAATGATGATAGTTCTTCCTTTCGAGGTGACTTCGTTACTCCAAGTGAACTTGTGAGTAACAATATACTGTGAGGGATGCGTACCAGACCACAAGAGTACACTACGCAGAGCTCAGAGTTCGGCTAACAGCTACAAAGGTAGAAGTCTCCAAGGTCTCCTCAGTCAACGTCGAGTATAATTCTCCTTGATCCGATACGGGCCCTGCGAGTTACGTTATCAACCAAGATTCACTAGAGTTTAGCGTGTGATGTTCGACCGTCTTCGACGTAATAGTTCAGGTAGAGTTCGAAGTCACCGTAGAGTAAAGTATTTCAGAAAGTATAGTCAAATAAAGTTGTAGCTCGCGTATCAACGATTTATATTGTTAAGACTCTGATTTCGCCGATGATGGTTTGGCTACTCAGTGAATGACACAGTATTTATATCCCTCGCTTATGTCTCGAGGACCCAGTCTACTAATAATACAGAATACACTCGGGGCATGCCCGAGACCCTGAAAAACAACCAAGAACATTTAACTCCTAAGTCCGTAACCCAAACTCCTAAATCCGCTGAAACCCCTCAACCTATTTATCCACTCTAATGCACGTTTCCCTGTCGATGTTTCTTCTCCATCGGCCGTCTTGGTGGATAATCGTCAGCATCGGCTATTCGGAGGTCTCGGCCGGCAAGGCTACCTACTCAGGCCTCTTCCCACATCGCTTTCCCACATAGCAGAGTCCTCTCATGCCCACAGGTACCGCCGATAGGTACTTGGTCGGCTGGCAGCTTGCGCCGATTCGCTCCGAGCGGTCCGATCTTCGATCCGATTGATTCCAGCTGTCCCTCATATATCCACCGGTACCAAAACACTCCCCTCCGGCGGTTTGACGCTCCGGGGGTTATTATTGGGGTCGAAAACGTGTTTTTTATGACTCTGGGTTTTTTGGTCGTAATTTGGTCGCACCACACTCCGCGAGTGTGGTCAAGAGTTGATATTAGCGTACAGAGGGTATTGGGGTATCTACTAGCCTTTCTCTCACTCCCGTAAATACTTGGCATGCCCGTAACAGCGTAGTAGTTTGTTTTGATTCCAATTGTCTCTCGCATTTCCGGGGGTTTGGTATGGGAGTAGGAGGGAGGCGATTCGGTGTAGACCTGTCCCTTTGATGTTTGCTTCTCTGTATGGGAGGAGCTCGATCAGGGATTCATTGTTGGGGTGGGTTGCCTCGGTGCAGAGTATTCTGGTTCCGTACTTTCTTGAGCGATATGTTAGGAGGTGTTCTAGGGGGGGTAGTCCTGCTTCTCGAAGGAGTTTAGCTCTCTTGGTCCATCGAGGTAGGCCCGTGATGATCCGGGCAGCTTCGTTGTATAGTGGTTCGAGCGATCTAATAACATGGTCTGCGCCAGTCCACCAAGCCTCAGATCCGTAGAGCAGGCTTGGAAGGAAGCCTTGTGTTATTAGGTGGTGAACTGTCTTGACTGTTATCCCTGGCAGGCGGGCGGTGTTTCGGATTTGGTGGAGGGCTTTTAGGCCTTTTGCGATTGCTGCTTCGATGTGGGGCCGGAAGGAGAGGGTCGGATCTATCTAGACTCCTACATATTTCAGCCTCTCCTTGGGGTATATATTGGTGTTGTTAACTTTGACTGGAAGTCGTGGTTGTTGTGTGGATGATGTGGTGGGCCGGAAGAAGATCAGATCGGATTTATCCGGGTCGTATTTAATTTGGAGTGGCTCAGCTTTAATTAGTCTTTCTCTCATTCGTTCCTCCATTCTCTTGATTGTAAAGCCTGGTGTTTTGGATATTTGCACCAGCGCATCGTCATCAATGTAAGTTGTGTCCATCTCTTTTGGGCTGCTAGTTGGGTCCAGAATTACTCCGGCATAGATCATGAATAGTACCGGAGACATGGGGCTACCTTGCGGCACTCCAGAATCATAGGGCTGTGGTTCCTCTAGCTCGTGATTGAATTGGAACTGTAGTTTTCTGCCGGTGTTGAATTCCTTGCACCATTCTGTCAGATAGGTGGGGAATTTTTGTTGGTGCATGATTTCCGCGAGGAGTAGGTGATCGACACAATTGAATGCTCCTTGGATGTCGTTGGTTAGGATCGCTGGTCTATCTCGCCAGGCGATTCCAGTGCTGTTTTTCAGTAGTAGGTTTTGTTGTATTGGTGTCAAGGTGTAACGGAGCCATTTCAACTGTCTGGTGTATGAGTACACACAGGGCCCGGTTACATGCTGAGAGTTATTGTTAGAAGCCAGTTGCACGGTGATATGCAAGTACCGGCAGTGTGGTTAGCTACCAGCTGTCAGAGTAACTACATTCCGGGCGCTAGGAAGAGGACCTATTCATGGGAGCAATGACTGACGAGTCTATGCCTCGCCAGTGACTAGAAGACCGGCCAGAGTGAAGCTCTGATTGCCCGGTGATCCTCTAGATCCTCTGAGCATTGTAAGTCCGCCGAAGGGCAGGGACTATGCTAGGGAAGTCTACAATAAGCGAAAGCTCTACAGCAATGATTAAGCTTACACCTGAGCGGCAGCTCATTCATGCAGGTCCTCGGTTGTGTGGCAACCAAGGCTGCAGGTGTTACAAAGGCTTTGACTAAAGGTGGTTGCCTTGGGTATCGGAAACACCTGCTGACGCTTAGAGGAAAGCGGGGTAGTGGTGGTATTGTTTCCGGTACTGAGGGAAGGCCCACCGGAACTTAGTAAGGAGTTAGGAGCAGAGAATAGAAGCCTTCGGAGTATAAGTACTCAGGTTCATTCCCGCCCTTCAGTCCTGTTTTCTCCAGTCTTCATCAGAAAGAAAAACCAAGTTCTTATCGGTAGCAGAGCCCTTAAAGATTATTGAGTTCTAGCGATAGAATCTTTGAATAATCTGCAACCTGATTGTCTATCTTGCACGGCCGTCTCTATTCTATACAAATCTATTTCTCTTAGAAAGGACCCCCGTTACAGATAATCTTTAAGGCTCAAGTCACCTTCAGATTATTCTTCCTCTATACCAAAATGTCTGCCCTCTCAGCTCCCGATGCACCCCTTCAGATTGAATGGCAGCCGGTGCCCCTCCAGCTTGATGCCACCGGGCAGACACAGCTTGTTAAGAAACCCAGGACCGCTCTACAGACCTACATTCCCGGCTGTGAGCCTGCCTGGCAGGATACCGACGAGATTTCCGTCCAACAGTTCTTCACAGAGCTCCAGACCTACCTCCAGCACAGCCTGCAGAATCAGTTGACCCGGGGCAGTCAGGCACTACTCCTTGTACAAGAGCGCCAGGCAGCACAGAATGCTCTGATGGTAGAGGCTCTTGAGTACATGAGGCATGAAGTCAACTCTGTACAGGAAGAACTCTGAAAGTATGCGGAGAGAGATGAACTGGGAGCCGATGCCATGGAGATTGAGTGGACAAACCCGGCAACTACACCAGACTTTGTTGCCGAAATACAGAAAGCCCTTGATGAAGGAAGGCTAGTGGTAGGGAGACCAGCAACTCCGGCACCAAATCCAGGCTCCAGGTCCTCGTCCAGGGCAGCCACCAGGACAATGCAGCGGAAAACCAGTCCCTTCGCAGCATTTCCGGTCAGATCCACTAGGAGAGTTGTCCCTATTGTCCAGCCAGCGGTGGGAGCATCTCCCTTACCTCCTAGCCGCTTTGCAGGAATAAACCCATTCCTTGGATTAGCAGACCGATCCTTTGACTATGAGGGAGAACTCTATCCAGGTGCAGGCCGAGGACCTCCCAGCCCGCTAGCCAGGAACCCCGGAAGGTTCACCATGTCTGGGGCCGCTCAACCAGCAGCAACCTCACCTTTGGCCAGCAATCCGGCACCAGTGGCACCTGTGGCTCCTCCTGCTGCGGCCGCCGCTCCCCCTCCAGCCAATGCACAGGGAGGAAGCGGTGGGAACCAGAACCCTCCACCTCCTGTGGCCCGTGCTCCTGCTCCTGGAGATCCAGACGGTTCTGACAGCTCAGACTCGGAACCAGAAGGTGGTGATAGAAAGGGTTGGCGGAGATATCTTAAGAAAAAGTTGGAGAAGCAACAAAAGGATTTGTTTGCTATGATGTCACAGCAGTACCGACTTCCGGCCGCCTCTCCCCCTTCCGCTTCCACCAGGGCCCGAGAGCCAAAGGCACCACCACCCTCCAAGTTCCAGGGCAAGGCAGAGCAAGTGGAGACCTTCATCCGGCAATGTGAGAATGTGTTCTCCATTGAGAGTCTGTCATTTACCTCTGAGGAGGTTAAGATCCGATATGCAGGCAACTTGATGGAAGGAGAGGCAGCGATCCGATGGTATGAGGCATACCACAATTCAATTGATCAAGCCTCCGCCAACCGTCTTGCCGGCATACCGGTGACTTTGGATCTGAGATGGAAGCGCTGGGATTCCTTTGTGGATGCTTTTAGAGCAGCCTTCGGTGAAGCCATCTCTCGAGATGATGCTGTAGCCCAATGGAATACCCTTACCCACACAGCCCGAGGAGGAATTGATCTCTTCCTGAATACTATTATTCAGCTGATGTGGAAGACTGGCTATGAGGGCCAGTTGGTGGATGATAAGATCAATAATTCTCTCCTTGCGGACCTAGGCATGAGTTGGGCTCTTTTCAACCCCAAGCCAAAGTCCCTGATGGAGCGGATAGCTGCTCTAAGAGAGCTAGGGCACACACATGAGAGGTACCAAGGGATGGCAGCTGAGAAAGCGCCCCCTCGGACCAAGAAGGATCCTCCCGCTCAGAAGGACCAGCAGCCTAAGAGGAAAAGAGAAGCTGCGAGCTCCTCCGGACCTCAGAAGACTCCTGGACCTAAAGACAAAGCGGTGGAACTGAAGGGTATCCCGGGGGATATTCTAGAAGAAAGAAGGAAAGCAGAAGTATGCTTGAAGGTATGACCTTCCGGTACTCCCTATTGGTAGAGTGCATAGACTGACTTGTGCAATAGTGCGGCAAGTCCAGAAACAAATGGACCGATTGTTGGTCTAAGGAACCTACTGTTGTCCGAGTGGCAGCAGTGAGGGTACAAAAGCGGAAAAGAGGGAATGGCAAGTCCAACTCTCAGAAGAAGGCTAAAGTGGCTGCTGTAATAGCAGAAGATCCACTTGTTGTACTCCCGGAGGCTACAGAAGATTTTATTTTGCAGCCTGAGCAAGACTCGGACAATGAAATCCTCTGGTAGAAAAATGTCTGTTCGAGTCTATGTTTACTAGTTTTCCTTTATATGGGTTTTGGGGTTTCTATGTTTCTCTTGAATAAATTATGATTGTGTTTCCGCCTATTTGATTGCTCCAAGCACTCTGAGGATGGGTTTAAGACCCGAAACAGCTGGTCTGTCAGTGCTCTACCAAAGTTACATTTGCCACAAGACACTTCCAAACCGCTACCAAAAATTACCACACATCATATCCGCTATATTACCGCTTGGGAATAGAACCAAAGGATCTTTTGATCTTAGTAGTGCCCGAAGCTATTTAGCTATGTTGAAAAGACAAAGAGAAACAAGTCCAGAATCCGCTGTTAAGCAAAGAAAGTTGGAACAGAGGCTTCCTTCTTTACCAGTACATGGAAAAAGACCTATACTGAAGGCAGGACTGTCATGGACGGTCAAAGGAAAGGATGAAGGCGCCCAAGGGTCTTTCCTGTTTGACACCGGTTGTACAGGAGCTATCCTCAACCAGAGTTTTGTCAGAAAACATGGAATTCCCTTAGTGCGGCGGGATCAACCTCTGACAATGTTTGATGCTCAAGGAGATGTCATGATGGGAGGAGGCGAGTATTACACTCACCCGGTCCGTATGGTTATGGGAGATCATAAGGAGACACTCCGATGGGAGGTGGCTACACTGGAAGAAGGAATGACCGGATACCTGCCAATTAGTTGGGCTAGGAAGCATAACCCGGACATCAACTGGGAACTCAACACCATGAGCTGGAGGAGTGACTACTGCAAGCAGAATTGTCTCCCAGCGGCCACCAAGATTGAACTGATCTCTCCGTACCAAATGTTGGAAGAAGAAGAGACAGTCTATCAATTGGTTGGTTCAGTATGGCATGATGAGGACGGAGGTGATATTGCTGAGAAAATACACCACCTATACAGGGATTGGGCTGATGTGTTCAGTCAAGAGAAGATTGAGGAAATGCCACCGCATTCTCATAATGATCTGAAGATCAAACTCTTGCCTGGCACCGCTCCCCCATTTGGCCCGCTGTACCCATGTTCCGCTCCAGAATTGAAGGCCCTCCGAGAGTACCTGGACAAAGAATTGTCTTCAGGAAAGATCTCTAGATCTAATAGCCCTGCTGCGGCACCCATATTGTTCATTCCTAAGAAGGATGGTACATTGCGGATTTGTGTGGATTACAGAGGTTTGAACAAGGTCACTGTCAAGGACAAGTACCCGCTGCCTATCATGAGTGAGCTCAGAGACAGGTTGTTCAAGGCCAAGATCTTCACAAAGATAGACCTGAAGAACGGCTTCAATTTGATCAGGATAGCAGAAGGTGATGAGTGGAAAACCGCTTTCAGAACCCGCTATGGACTGTATCAGTATAATGTGATGCCGTTTGGTCTATGCAATGCTCCCTCCGCTTTCCAGGCAATGATCAATGATGTGCTAAAGGAACTACTGGATGAAGGAGTGGTTGTCTATATTGATGACATCCTCATCTACTCGGAAACTGAGAAAGAGCATGAGCTACTGGTCAAGAAGGTACTACAGAAGCTTAGGGAAGCTAAGCTCTGTGCCTCGATCAGCAAGACATCCTTCCATGTCCGAGAAGTAGAGTACCTAGGCTACCACATCTCGGAAGAAGGAGTATCTATGTCAGAAGACAAGGTAGAGGCAGTTAAGGAATGGCCGGTCCCTGAGAATATCAAGGCAGTACAGGCATTCCTCGGATTAGCAAACTTCTATCGCCGCTTCATTGAAGGCTTCAGTAAGGTTTGCAAACCATTAACTGACCTCCTGCAAAAAGACAAGAAATGGTATTGGACGGCAGCACATGAACAGGCCTTTGAAGAACTCAAGAGGCTGTTCACAAGCGCTCCAATCCTCCTTCATTTTGACCCTAGTAGGAGAACGGTGGTCGAGACAGATGCCAGTGATTTTGCCAAGGGGGCGGTGCTCTCTCAGTACGGGGATGATGGGAAGCTACATCCGGTGGCATTCTATTCTAAGAAGTTCTCCCCTGCTGAGATCAACTATGACATTCATGACAAGGAAATGGGAGCTATTGTAGCCTCTTTCCGGGAATGGGAACACATGCTCAAATCTTGTGAGCAAGAGATCACGGTTTTTACAGACCACAAGAACTTGGAGTATTTTAATTCTACCAAGGTCCTCACTAGGCGGCAAGCTAGATGGTCTGAGGACCTCGCAGGCTACAATTTCAAAGTTGTCTACAGACCGGGAGAAAAGAATGGCAAGACTGATGTGCTATCTAGGCGCTGGGATCACCGCCTTGGAGAGGGAGGTGAAACTCTGCAGCCGGAGCCACAGATCTTTTTTAGGCCAGGTCAATTGGTTTTGGATCCTGCAAAGCTA